TGTGTTATGTTTGTTGCCGGGATAAATTCCAAAAACCAGGTTGAACAAATCCACTGGCTGTGGAACTAAAAAACATTTAGTGAGACAAAAACCTGTGAAGCACTGACCCTCCGTGTCTGTTCTACAGTCTACACTGAAGCCGTTTCTATCAGGAACCCATTTGTGGGACTGGACAGATCTATGTGGGATGGGACCTTCACCTTGCGTTTCATCTCTGCAGGACTGGGAGCGGGCTCTGGTGGCGGGGAACGCGCACTACTGGCAGCGGCAGCCCGCCGCACCTCCTCTTCATGCCGTTGAATCTGCTGCTGAATAAGAACGAGCTCGCCAAGCAGACCCTGCTGGGGTACGTCATAATGAGAGAGAGGAAGGAGCAGCAAATAAAAAAAGAAACACACACAGTGACCAGCCACTGTTCTGGTCAGCCACACCGCCGACACTGTAACTACGGCCACGCCTCGGTCAATGTCATTGGTCATGATCATGCTGCACAGACAGGAGTCGTCGCGGCCGAATCTAATCACGATCTTGCCACAGTCCTCAGTGTAACCCAACAAAGTTAGTCTCTCTCTCACTCGGGCAGCAAAAAGAGAATCCAAACTTTGCCAGACTGAAAGCAGAAGAGGCAGCTAATACCACAACCAGCACCTCTCCACAAGTGGCGACAACAGTGAGTCTGCTCCCTTTACTCTGGGATTATTCAGACATTTATTCTAACTACTCTGATGTTGAGGATGAAGATGATAAAAGAGCAAAGCAAGCATGGGAGATGTTGTTCTATCACAGTTAAGGCTTAAAGCATTTGTAAGGCAAGTAAAGAAAGCCTTGGTTCAAGGTCCCCAACATGACAAAACTCTGTGACGCTGGGTTAATTTCTTTTTCGCCTTCTTGCTAATTCAACATCAGAGGTTAAAAATAAAATGTTGAATGTTTTGTAAACTCCTATCAACCTGAAATGTGACCAGTGATCATGGTGGAGACCACAAACTTCAGACCAAAAGCAGGGAAGTATTTTGCAATGGCCATTTAATTAATGCAACTACATGTAACCTAATAATAATAATAATAATGTTCTTTTTTACTGGCTTTAAATGTACTGTACGGTATTAACAGTGTGCAAAAACAAATGACAAAAAAGTAAACAACTGGGAGACATGAACAGAAAGAATGAAAACGTTGGGAGTGACGACAACATAAATAAAATAAATACCAGTGGTTGCCAAAAGCTGCTGAAAAATTTGTTTGTTTTTTTTTAGAAAAATCCTAGTTTAGATTAACAGCATATAAAGCAGTTGGAGCAGAGATAAATATCATTATTAGTATATTAACTACATGTCAAAGGAAAAGTCTATGTACAAAATGATACTCAAAAATTGGTATTTTTGTTCATAAATATAGGACACTGGGTTTCCTAGGCCAAATATTTAGGCATCTGTACAAACAGTACACTGTACAAACAGTAAGTACAAACTTTCATTTCTGACAGTAACGCAACAAAGTAAAATACTGGGAAATACATAATTTCTCCCTTCGACTCTGTCCACTGCTCTTTTGTTCAAATGTTCAGATGCAGACAAGAGCAGAGCGCAACGGAGCCGTGCTGAAGCAGCGACAGCAAAATATATATATATCAGAGGTAAATAAACTTGCCTTTTTGTATTGTTTGTCACCAACGTCATGTGCGGCTACTGCAGAGGAATCAGTGGCCTTCAAGGAGGGGTCACCTGAAGAATCTACAGAGAAGACATAAAACCACAAAATAAGGGAATTTGGTCAAATTCTTCTGTTATTAAAAATGCTCAACGTAAACCAAACTCGACCACTCTTTTTTGCAGGATATTTTTAAGTCATATTGTATGGTTATCCCTGAAATTTACATATCTACAGTCACAAAATTGAGACTTTTCTTTTCTTGTACAATGACTCAGCACAGGTGTGGTTCAAAGTGTTCAGTTAACACAACAAGTTCTTAAAATCACGCCCTTTACACAACACCGAAATACATTTGGAGTTAGATCATACTTTGACGGTGTATTGTGCTTGAGATATTATGGTATGTTCTTTAGCAAATGCTAAGAACATGTCCAACATGAAACAGCGTAGTCCACACATCTGAATGTCAGTAAATTAATGTGGACACACGTCGTATTAAGGTTAAGGAAAAAGAGTCTGATAACGGAGGAGGCTGGTAGAGAGCAGGGGAGAGAAGGCGGAAGTCAAAGGAGATGAAACATAATGAGAAGTACAGCAAGGAACAATTAGGTTGGAGAAAGTCAAAAAGGGAGAAATAGACAAATTAAAATCATAACAAACTAGATTAGTTTAGTTCATAAACGAAGAAAGTTTTTTTTTTCTTGTGCCTCGGTGTCAACAAGAAAACAGGAAACATTTCCTGACCTCACTGTTCAGATGTTGACCACTCAGTAACATTGATCATTATTCTCTGATTTTTTTTCCACCACTGTTGGACTTAAAATGGTCTACATTAACTACGAACACTGCTCCTGTTAGCGGTCGCTCTGGTCTGCAAGCTGGAAGCCAATTTAGAACCAAACGAAGACTTTCCTTGAAAATCACATGCAGCGATCCACCACTATACTGATCAAAGAGCAGCAGTAAGACCAGGGGAAAATGGGCAGCACTACAACGAGTGCAGGGTTTACACACCTAACAACAGATGCAGACCAGCTCCTTTGACTTCACTACCCAAACTCACACCTGTGAAGAATGTGGAGGAGAGGAGAGGGGGAGGTGGGAAAAAGGGGAGAACAACACAAGATGAAAAATAAAAAATCATAAAAGATGGAAGTAGAGGAATGATGGTCAAAGCAAGAGCAAAGCTACATGCTGTGTATCCTCACATACACATTAATAAAGCAGGTGAGCTGCTGAAAAATTCAAGTGAAGCCTCTTGATATGCAGCAATAATCAGATCTTATACTGAATCTGATTAACATTTAAGAGATGACACTAAAAAAATAGAACCTGCTTTGCTAGTTTGAAATTATAATATTTATATATAATAATATTTTAAATGTATTATTTTCAGATAATTTTAGGTTTGACCGACCTGGTATTTTTATTACTGTACCTCCTTATATGGCATACATAATAATGAATTATTTTGCATGTATGTCTTTGTTTTTTTTCTAGTTTCTGTCTGCTTGTCAACACAGAGACTGCCTTGTTGAGTTAAACAAGCTCATACCAGACTTTCCCTTAGAGTACTGCTATTTTGCACAAAACAATGTGCTAATGAATGTGCAATAAGAGAGATGCTTGATACACTATCTGTGTAATTTAATGGTGTAAAATATGCAATGATAAAAATGATTTTCTATTCTGTTTTTTCTGACTCAACGGTCATCTTCTAGTAAATTTGAGATCAAACTAAATGTAATTATAACAAATATTTATACTGATAAAGTTTTATATAATTTAATACTTAAATAGTAAAAAGCAGATGTTTTTTTATATAATTTAATACTTAAATAGTATTAGAAAATAGTTGGCTGTGGTTATTTCTAATTTCAGAATCTCCTTGGAGTGTTCAGACTTGGTTGACTCACCAGAGGACAGTAAGCTTTTGAGGAAAGTAAAATTCTCTCCAATCTTGTTGAAGTCAGGTAATAGTTTGGCTATTTCCTCCATCTCTGGTAGAGCTTTGGCCAGTTTATCTGCAAAAACAAGAAATAAAGGCTGAAGCGGAGACAACGTCAAGAATCTTGTATCAAGTCACAAGCCTTGTGTGTTCAGGGATCCTGACAGAGTGACTTCAAGTCACCTACCTAGATCAATCTGTTCACTCAGTTCCCAGACAGAATCAGGAATGATCCAACTGTATTCACTAAAATCTGGCAGCATGTCCTTCCACTCCTCGTAGGTCTGGAAATAAAGTAACAGATGGTAAATAATTTTAGAGTTGAAAGGACCTACATTATTAAAATGATGTAACAGGATCTGGATACAGAGAATTTGCAACTTAATGAGAACCAAACAAGTTTGATTTAAAAACTCTTTCTGGTGGACAGAATTAGACAGAATACTGACCTTCTTAGCTGTGTATCCTCCTCCAACTGCAGTGCCCAGCAGAAGGTATCTCAGCCTTAGTAGCCTAGCTGCAAGGCGAGCCACCCAGAAGTTCCGCTGCTGTTGGTGGCCTCGGCCCCATGATCCAGGGGCAGGCTTGGGTGGTCGCATGGGCAAACGAGACATCGAAGTAAAATGGCGGGCTGCCATGCGGTGGGGTGGTCGCTGAGGGTTGTTGTTTCCTGAATAGCGGTGGTGAATGGCACGGGAGAGGGGGTGAAGCTTTTGCAGTGGTACCAGACACCTCACCCCCATGTTGGAGGAGACCAGTTTCCTGCAGGCCACACTAAAAAGAAAATTGATTTCATCAATTTCTGTCATCACTCCTGATCCATTAAAAAATATTAGACCCAGTAAAATCATACTTCCACATTTACCACAGATATAATGTACATTAACATTGGAATGGATGGTTATAAACACACATTTCACTAGAAAAACTCCCTTTAAACTTAGAGGATGCTAAAAACAACCAAAAAAAAAAGAAAAAACGTGTATGGATCTGTTATATAGGATAATACTTCAACTTCTGGCAATATAAATATAAAAAAGAAAACGTGTATGATTTTGATGTATAGAATAACACTACAACTTTTGGCAATATAAATAATGCCTCCCTTCTTTGATTTCAGTTGAAACTTTTCAAGAACGTATTTGTTACAACAACGACGATTCGGGTTTTGTAAATATCTTGTTTTTCTGAACGAAAACAAAAATAACACGCCTCACGATGTGTCAAGTCACAAGTGACAACAGTGCATGCGAAATATAAATGTTTAAATACCAGGGTTTAAGCTGATGATGAGATTAATCTTACACGTAAGACTTAGTTCTATCATATATTAACAATTCCAAGTCGGATCACAACTTCATGTCAACATCTTCAGATTAACACCAACCCTGGTTAGCTGTACAGTTAGCAAATTAGCTGGTCGCTTGACCGCATGCTAACAGCTCTCATTTAAGCGTTATTTACTATTGTGATGAATGTGTACATTTAGAAAATCTCAATAGATTCTACTTTTTGGAAGACAGTTATGTTGGCTGTCCTGACACATCAAAAGACAGATGAGGATGTTATCTGTGTACCTCCCTCAGATAGGTGACACAGTGAGCTGTCATAACCTCCGTTTATATAAAACTCACCACGCTGCTTTGCCCCCGACACGCAACATGGCGGTGCTGTTGACAGCGGTTAATCACTAATGTCTTTCGAATCCAGTTCAGGTACAATTTAATTCATCTTTCCATGTGATACAAACATACATAGGGGCTAACTATCCCGTTAGCTAACAAGGACACAGTACAGAATGACAATCGACTTCCGGTGGGCGGTACTAGCTCCAAATTGACACGAAGGAAACAACGCGGTGATGATGATGAGTTCCTATGTAAGAATTTCGGCAAACGTCATGTTTAAACGTCATTTCAAAGGCATTCAACTGTCATATATGCCAATGATAAATGTTTGAGAGCTTTCGAGTGAAATAACAGCCTAATGTCTGTCTCTATTTATATTTAAATATATATATAATTTGCTATTAGTTAATTTGTACAGTGTAAAAATACGTGACCGCAACTTGTAGCTTACTTAATCCTATGCACTTTCACACATTACAATTTTAACATTTGCCATTGTTTGACTAGTTTTGTAATGGAACGGTCACTTGTTGTCAAATGTCAATTTTTTCAATTACTTACTGTACAAATAAATGAATGCATATGAATAATTCTTAATTTACATTCTTAGATTGAACATATTGGGTTTTGTTACAATGGCTTATGTCAAACAGGCCAAAGCCAATCATTAAATACGGTTTACATTAACACTGCCTTTGGTTTTGTGCTAGTCGGGCTTTACTTTAGTCAGTTATTACAAGTGACTTTATTAGTTTGAAATAACTGGCAGGACATTTACTTTTAACTTGAAAGAATGACAAGGGAGTCCTTATACAGATTTGATTTCAGAACATTTATTGAAAAGAAGAAATCAAGACAAATAGGCAGAACAATTTCCAGCGAACAAAGATATAAGAAATAAATAAAAAATAAATTAGACAGTAGAAAAAATGAAAACATGTGCATCTCTGTCAACAAAAATATAAATAAACCCAATAAATTGTCATTGAGATGGTCGAGTGGAAAGGAAAAACTGTTGACACACAGACTGGAGTAAAAATGTCACTACCTTTATATTAAAATGGATTTAGATATTAACCCAGAACTCTCTCTAGGTTGTTCCACTATATTTTCGTGTCGTCTTATTCACTTGTTCATTTGAAATTAATATTTTCCTGAAGAAACATCAAGAGACTTGCTTAACCTGCAACCCATTCAAGAGTGTCCTTAAGGGATGATGGAGTTCAGAGGCCAATGCAATACGTCTGTAATGTACCTGTATACGACAACAGAGGTTTCAAAATAAAATCAATTTGTTTTGACAAAAGATGTCAGGCTTTAAAGCAAAGCTGAAGTGCAGAAGTAGAAGCAGTAGTACGAGTTGATGAATTTGTTGAAATCATGGTACACAGCAGTGACAAAGATGACTCTAAATAATTTGGAGTACTTTAGCAGCATAGAAACGTTAGTAAAACAGCAATGTACATTATTTTGACAATCACAAAACACTTTTGTTTTGACAAAAAGAAAATCTGATCCTAATCACAGAAAAGATTGTCAATAAAATGCTTAAACTCAGAATGTGCCTTGTTGAGATGCAACACTTACATCACTAATTCCCTTCTTTTGTCTAGTCATATGCAAAGTTTTTTTGTTTTTTTTACACTAATTCCCTTCTTTTGTCTAGTCATTTAAAGTCATATGCAAAGTTTTTTTTTTTTTAGGAACAGATAATCAGTAGACCATCCCCAGAACAATTCCTTTTCCATTGAGTTGTGTTGCAGTTTAACTTATTCCAATTTTTAAAGTAAACATAAGCTGCATGTTTACTCCACTTAGAATAAATACTGATCCCAAGCTCCAGAAATACCACCTTCAATGGTCTTTTTTAAATAAAAGAAATGCCCAGAAAGAGGAAGACCCATAAAAATGCATGTCAACAACAAAAGTGAAAAATCAGATGAATAAAAAAAGACATTACAAATCAAAAGTAGACAAACACCTCATTGTAACAAAGTACCAAAATAGCAGAAAGACAAACCAGCCCTTTGAAAATCCAAAAACCCTACTTTTATATCTAAATCTTTTATGCACACACTAGTAAATGTATCTCTCATAAATATATATATATAAATAAGTATATATATATACATATATATATATACAGACATATTCCAACAACTTCTAATATTATCACGGTCTGAGTCCATTTCTGCCAAACATTTGACAGAGCTAAACAAACAAATATATTTGTAAAATAACCTGTAGACGTGTAATGAAAATCTTTGGAAATAGAATCTAAAAGCACAGTATTGCATTGCATTCAATTGAGTTTTTTGTACAACATTCAATTAGGCCTCAGTAGGTATCTATACAACATAAAAAGATCCTGAAATCAAAGTTAAAAAAAAATACAACTTTTTTAATTAACTTGTTTCTTAATTCTGTCATTCATTCTGTTTTTTTGCAGGGGAGGGGCAGAGGGGTGGAAGTGGGAGGGAGTCTTATGGCCAAGATAAACTATTTAATTATAAAATCTGCACACACCTGCAATTTATGCAACTGCTGAGTCAAAATGAAAATGCATACCAGCTGCATGTCCGTGAATATTTATCAATATTTCATTGTTAAACGTTGACAGCGGTTTTTCATAATCGCTAATTTTCTATATACGTTGACTCTTTTCTCAGGGTCTGCCTTGTAATTATGTTTTTCCTACCATTTCAACCAGGAAAAATAGGCAAGGCGGCAAGGAAACTGCCTTATTTAAAGCATACTGTAGGCTGTGTTTCAATGTTTCCACAATCAGCATAAAAAAATAGTTGTGCAACTGAAATTGAGCCCTTTTTCTCTGCAGGTAGCTTGTGTGAAACATGTCCGCAACCGTGCACGACAAACTTCATCCCTTCTGTGAAGGGTGTGCTTCCACATGTATCTATTTTCTTTCACACCTTGCAACGAAAAGGGGTTTAAATGACGCCACTTGCCGTCTACGGCAGGTGTTTTGATTGCAATAGTTTGATGCCTGTGAGTTTCATATGATGCTTTGTGAACAAATACAGTAATGATGAATATGTGCAGTAAAAAAATGAGACTTTGAAATCACACAGGTGCAAAGCTTATGCTACACACCCAAAGGTTAGCATACTGTATTGGTTGTGACCTCAAAACCAAGCTGAGTTGAATAAAACTCCAATCGCTTTTCTTGGATTATGAATGAAATAAATAAGAGTTTATGGACAAGCATCAAACACTGAATTCCAAAGACAAACTACTGATTTATACACGTTTTGTCTTTGTTCATTTATCATGTAGTAACGACCCACTGAAAAAGTAACAGAGAGAGAGAGAGGTGTGGGTCTCAGCACGGGACTGCAGGAGAATGAGCAGATGTCATCGAAGTAATCATCGAAGTAATCACTTCTGTGGTAAAAAGTTGTCACTCTGTGTTGATTGTTCCTGCTCAATAATCTGGCTTTGCATTGTGTAAATACAGCAGATTCCACTAAAAGTAATCCAGTTCTCAGCTTTGGTGAACAAATTAAAAACAGTAATGAAAATGTTTTGTTTTTTTGTTTTTGGTGAAGACATATTTAAACAATGTTTAAAGCAAAAGTGACCTGAACCGATAGTACTGTGAGAACTGAAACTTATTTTTGTATTTTTACAGACCTCACAGCAGTCTTTGAAGTAAATGCATAGAGGCATATCCCTAAACAATAATAATAATCTATCATGTGATAATTTTATTTAAAGATTTAAAATGTGCTTTTCATAAGCATTTATTCTGATCTAACTACTTTGTGTGAAAAAAAAAAAAAAAAGAGAGATTGGAAACTGATCCGGTAAGAGAGCTAGAAAATGCTCAAGATTTCATAGGTGGAACCGTTTACTGGTCGGTGTTTGGCTTCAATGGTGGTGGTTGGCTTCGGAGGCCAGTCGGGGTCCACGCTGAGCTCCTGGGCCAGGTGCATGTAGCGGGCCTTTGGCATCTTCCCTGCACAGCATAGGCGGGATAGACACTTGCAGGAGCCTGAATCAAAGGCCCTCTGAAAAGAACAATGCCCCCAAAAAATAAAAAAAATTAAGATCAGATGACAATTGGTTTAAATTAGATTTAAAAAAAAAAAAAAAAAAACACCTAAAGACAAATAAAATACTTGCTAATATCACAAAAAAAAAAAAAATCACAACTATCACTAACATGTTTGACAGACATTTCTTAAAATAGAAACAAGGCAGCCAGTGTTCATGCAGGCCAATCAAACAAAATTGAGCATCCTAATAGTTCAAAGGATTCAAAAAGCGTATGGAATCAAAGATTAATGACAAAACAAAACAACAAAAAAAAAAACCTTCTTTCACATGCATGTAGACATGTGGTTAACATTCACAGAAAACCTGTGGCCTGCTCCAAACTGAATCCACCGACAATGACTGGTTAAACGTCATGTACACTTAGAAGGATAAGTGTGGCTAGGAAATCCTTCAAAAACCTGTAGGCGGGGGAGGAGGAGGAGGCGCAATAGATGGGGAGGAAGAGGAAGAGGAGGAGGAGGAGGAGGTGGTGAAAGGCTATACTTCTGAAGGAGAGGTGACAGTAGACGTCCAAGGCTTTATACCAGTGTAATCGTGGTGAATTAGGCCGTTCACTATCATCAGTTGATAATACTGTGATAATACGTATCGATTCTAAACTATACAAATACTTCAATATGATTTTACTTTTCTATTAAAAAGGTGTTTCAACATGTGTACGCAGGGGAGCCATTATAGAGAGCAAAACACAAAAGGATATTAAAGAGAGCATTTAATTATTTCTCTTGAAATTCATCTTCCTTTACTTTTCACACGACAACTCAACTGTGTTTTTTTATTTGTTGCTCTGCCTTGATTCTTTTAGTGTTGTGAGCTGAGCACGTTAGACTTAGAGGTTTTGAGTGACAACTTGTCAACTGACCTTTTGAAAACTACCACCAAAAAATTGCAAAGAACAAAAAGAGAGGAGAGGAATACTTTTGCAGCAGTAATAATGGACTTTTGTGAAGTAATTTGTCTAGAAATGCTAGGTTTAAAGTACCTTATCACATATTAACTGATCAGCAGCATCACACACAGATAATTATGCAAACAAAACAACAGTAAAGTCAACATTTTGTAAAGTATTATATGTTAAATATGCTTTAGAAAATTACAGATGTCTCCTTAGAGAATGTATCTTTTTCTGTGTCGCAAAGAGAGACGCAACCAATCCAGACAATTTGGTGTGGTTTGGCCGAGGTTCTCCCCGGACTGTTCACCAGACCTTCACTGGGTCACGTATAGAGACAAACAACAACTGAGCCCACCGTTATAAAGCCTTGGACGGAAGAGAAAATGGCAGATAAGTCAGATTGATCAAAATCAGACCGGTGTTCTCGTTAGGGGTTAAAAAAAAAACAAAAAACAAACCAAAAGGTGTGATTATTAGTGAGTGTTTTGTCATTGTTTTTGACAGATGGGGACAGGGGGAGGAAACACCACATAAGAGGGGAAAAAGGAAAGAGCTAGAGAGGGTGTCTTATTTTCCCAACCTGTGGTGTCGGGGAGGCAGGAGTGATGCCGAGGCTGCCATGTTTGTCTCGGCTGAACACAAGCTTCCATAAGACGATGTCAAGGATGAAGTTCTACGGAATAGTGCAGTAGGCAGGGGAAAGATTGGAGAGATTTGATTTGAAATTCAATTTGATAAAGTTTCCACTTCTCTTGGTTCTTCCACCGTGGTCGTCTGTTTTACACATTCATCAAAGATTTAGGTTCATTCATTTTTGTGGTTAATAAGTGCGTTAACGTGTGTGTGTGTGTGTGTGTTAATATCACAAACAATATTACAAACAATGTTAGAAACAAACTGAAGTAGTAAGAAGAATGCATAGACATACTGTAGAGACATCTAAATAAACGGCTAAACATTAAATGTGTAAAAGTACAAACACACGATGTGGGTGTGTGTGTGTGTGTGTATTAGGATGGTCAACTGAAACCAACAGTTACACATTAAACATTTATTACACAGTACATTTCCTATAAAGGATGAGACGTTCAAACGTGACGTGTGTCTTTCTGCATTAATTCAACACTTTTCCAGTTAAACGTTTTTAAAAACCACAAGAATTCCCTGCTGTCAAGCTCAGTGAGACAAACATGAGCATACTGCATTACAAAAAAACAAACAAAACAACAAACAAACAACTAAAACTGAACATGAAAAAAAAGAAAAACATCCAATCTTAGTTTCTTTGTGTGTTAATGTGTGTGTGTGTCTTACCTCCACCAACACAGACACGGCAGCATTTACCAAGACGATGAGGAAAAGTTTCACCCTCCATTCGAATGGGACACAAAATCTGCAACAAAGTGAAAAAAAAAAAATCTCTTTTAACGTCATTGTTAGGAATGTACCAAAGACTCACTTGTGGTCTACACCGGAACAGACTTTGTGTATTTCTTGTGTATCAAATGCATATCTTACTGTTAGAAAGCTGTCGATGGCTTGAACAGGGTTGAACATGATGAACATCACAAAAATATATACACTCACTGCAGACAGCACAAACGGCCCTGGGAAGTGACCATGTGGGGGGAAAAAAAGAGAAAAAAAACACAAATCAACAGTGAAGAAGACACAGAATTGCACAAAAAAATGATCTTTTAAGGCTGTAAACTCTAAACAGTAAGAAAATGTCTTACAGTTTTTGTAGCTGGGCTGCCGGAAAGGTTTGCCCTTTGAGAAAACAATGGCAACAATGAGATACTGGAAGGATGACACATAGAAGAGACTGGTGTTCTCAAAGTTTTCGATGTTGTGTTCGTCAACTTCTGAGCTGTTGTGGTCCGATATGTTAAGGTGTGATGACAGGTTGCAGACACTGAGGGAGGATGGATTTTGGACAACTCATGTCAAACAAAGCAAACATTGCTGGATTGATTTTAAAAAAAGTACTATAAGGTATGAAACTCAAACAAAGCAAACATTGCTGGATTGAAGTACTATAAGGTATGAAACGGGTACTCACTCTGTCTGTGGTGTCCAGACTTCGTACCAAGGCTGCTGCTGGACCCAGAAGAACGTGATCATCTGGAAGCCGAGGCAGATGAGGATTTGGGTCAATACGGAGAATAACAGAGATCCTGAGATGAGACCTGACGGTGGTCGGCGCGGCACGAGCTCTGACCAGGCTGGGTTTAGACTCACTGAAGAAAAGAAAAGAATTGCTATCGTAAAATATATATCGAGACAAATATCACAAATTGTGCAAACTGTCAATCATTTTTATACTGACTGGTAAAGACAATGAGGAGGATGATACAAATGTCAATGAAAAGGAACTGGAAGTCCCCAAGGTTACTGAGGATCTAAAAAAGAGAGGAGAAAGAACACGGATCAATGATTTCCATTTTTTTTTTTTTTTTTAAAGCTACATAAACTGTGGCTGCAGCAGCACATACAGAATAGAGCAGAGTGACACTGATGTACTGGATGATGCTGTAGAGGGCCATGAACTTGAACACGCAGAAGGAGGTTATGAGAGCAGCACGTCCTTCCCTGTAGAAGAAAGAAACAACTGCGTCATAACGTGTCTAACGTGACAATCACAATACAGTTTGTCAACCTCAACGATGATTTAAACCACGTGAAAAACTGGCAACGCAAAAACGTGAAACCGTAAAATAAGGACCTGATGAGACTGGGGACACAGGAGATGTTGGGAGTCCTGGAGGTGAAGGGAGAAGCTACAGAGGCTTCCAGCTCTGACAGAGAGATTCCAGCATGAGCCCTCTTCAGAGCCTGAAGAGTGTGAAGAGAGAAGGACATTCAAATTCATCATTTCATTATTGTTACAGCCACTGTCACACTGTTATTCATTTGAGACGGGGCGTGTACGTACCCCGCAGTCATTGGCTCCATCTCCACACATCCCTACAAAGTAACTTTAACGACAAAATAATGTGATTATTATCATAAATATATAAATTTGACAGTCAATGTTGATTTAGTCTGAAGTCTTTTGACTATTCAATAGAACTGTTTTAAGTTTTAGACGACAAAATATCAAATATATCTATATTATTTGTCGACTAAGTTTAAATTAGATTGAGTTGACTAAACTGTAACGTGTCATTTGTTATATTATGTCAGTTGATATATTATTTCTTAATTGCAGTTCAGTCACATGCATCCTACACCTGAGGGCAAAATGGGCTCATATAACCTGACTGAATATAAAACAAAAAAAAGGATTATGAATAGCTTGACTTGACACTCACTCCACCCCCTGCAGTGCCTCAATCAGTTGGGTTTTCTGGTCGGGGGCCATTCTGGCAAACACAGTCCCGTGCAGAACCAGCTACATGGTAGGACACACAGCAAGGGCAAACTGGTATAACTGGTATATCCCCATGACAAACAGACCAGCAGATGTTTCCTGTTTTGAATTCGTAAACATCATACCTTCTGAAGCATGTCAGGGAAATGCTCAGCAATAACAGCAAATGATTTTCCATTCATGGCGAAGTGATACAGTTCTTGTGCTTTGGGTTGATCCTCATGGCAAACATCTTCCAGACTGATGTTCACTTGCTGCAGAAAGAACACATTCCTGTGTCTGGTCATTCGTGTCTGTGTTTAACTTAACAAAAAAACAAGTACAAGTTACGGCTTATTTTGTCGTTTCACCTCCAGGTGAGAGATCCTGCTTGGTTGGTCGGCGTATCTCCAGGTGATCTTGGCGGCTTGACCATCGTGGGGAGGTAGAGCGTCTGCAATGATGACCGTATCTTGGGGAGGGATCATTCCACAGTCTCGAGCCACTGAAATCGCTGTCAGCAACTTGTCACCTGCAAAGTTGGCAGAATGTAATAATAAATATACAGCAGGGATTCCAAATTTTATATCGCATTTGTTTTTCCTCACACACAAGGTTTTGTTTGAGAACCTAACAGTCAACAAATCCATGGCACTTAAACTCAAGTGACTCGGCCTAGCATTCAGAGCACAGAGTAGAGAGGTCTACGTAGACCTGGAAAATGGTTTGTGTGGTCTAAAAACAGTAGAGAAAATGTACGTGAAGCCCATGTGAATTACCAAAAGTTAAATTTCCACGTGTGCTTCAGTGTAAATATGAATGAAGTCTGTGTTGATGTAGCTGTTCACATGTGTCGTGGATGTCCACATACTCACCAGTAACCATGACGGTGCGGATGTTGGCATGACGGAGGTTCTGCAGCACCCCTGGTGTTTCTGCTTTCAGCTTGTTCTGCATGATGATCAGACCCAGAAACTCCATGTTCAGCTCAATGTGGTCCCTGGTTTAAAGACAGATACGGCGGATACACATTAATTAATAAAATAAATTAAGACTAGGTTGATGCGGCCAATAATCGTATTGACATTGAACTATTTGAAATATATAGAAATAGTGATTGACTTAAGTTAATTTACTTTATCTGCATGGTTTTACCCTACAGTACATATTTTGTATGAAGTTTAGATGCATTTAAAGGTATCCGATAAAACCACAATACAAAACCTAAAAAACAAACAGAGAGCTGTTACCTGTTGACATTCTGGACTTTGTGCCAGTTGAGTTTGGATTCTAGACGACGGTGAGCGAGAGCAATGACTCTGAAACCCTGCTTGGTGTAGCCCTCAAGAACCTCTGCAAAATTTTCTGGCACTGCCAAACGAGCAAAAAGGTCACGGTATAGACAACTGAAAGAATTTTTAAATATAACAGCTATACGTTTTATACATTTTTATCTGACCTGTCTCTTTCTTGCAGAGACCAGCCACAACCTCCGGCGCCCCCTTAGTGTAGGCATCCATTCGTCTTTCCCCGAGCAGACGCGCTACAACGCTCATTCGCTGGAGAGCTGAGGAGAAGGGAAACTGCCGCACGATGCCGATCTCGTACGCCGACTGCACATGCGTGTGTAAAAAAAGTTTTATTGATAAAAAACTATGAAATGTAAGCAATGCTTTTTTTAATCACCACAGTATGAAGCACTACAGAAACTGTCAGATAATTATTGACTTGGCAACATCTGAACTGCATTGTATAAAAAATAAATAAATAAAAACTAATTTAAAAAAAAAAAAATCAAGCAATCACGGTTGTTAGACAATTGTTCGATGTACATACAAGTTCTTCTTCTTCTTCTTGTAATGGTACAGACTCCTGGGGTAACAAATGTGTTGGGGGTCTGACAACAGTGGGCATGATCTGGTTGTGTAGAGCTGTTTCCTCCTCCGTAGCCTCTTCCAGAACCTGACCAGTTAAAATACGGGATTAAAATACATTTTTAGAAAAACAATAAAAAGGCTCATATTTTAGATAACATATTTTTCTAAAATTTGTGACGCACATTGACCTTCACCTAACAAAGACAGCCTATAAATCACTGCTCACCCAGCCTGTAGCCTCAAACATTTTCAGGTCCAGTGGGTCTCCAGAAAGCTGGCCCTCTATTTTAGTGAGAGAGTGACAGGTTGCCATGCAGGCTACGAATTGAGACTTGACCAGATGTTCTTTGTAGGCATTTTCTTCTGACAGGTAGAAACTAAATAAGGGGAGATAGGCAAATAGAAAACACATTTACTAACAGACCTTTCAACTCACAAACTGTGTTGGCTCATCTACAACACAGGGAAACTTACCTCCCATTCTCCACTCTCTGGACACCCCACAAATCTAATCCGTCTTCTGTAAGAGTTCCAGTCTAGAAGTAAAATACGTCGTGAGTTATAAGATTTATTAAATTAAACTGAAGGTATTCAGCATTTGTGCAAATGAGAGGACAACAAAATTGCGAGATCTTACTTTGTCAAAGCAGACCAGATTGATCTGCCCACAGATGTTGATCCTCTGTGGGCTGATGCAGAAGATGCCAATGTTTTTGAGGCGTCGTTGTGCATACACAATGCCAGCTGTCATGGCAGCTGGCAGCGCTGGTGGCACAGTGATGGTTATGATGTCCAGAGACTCAATGATGATGGTTTTTGCTGGCACCTGGTGCAGACAAAAAGAAAAGATAAATTTAGGATTCATTGTCACAAGATTTTTTTTTCCCCCTATCAAACACAATACACTACACTGGGGGGTAAAGGTCACAAAGCCTATAAATTTGTCCCTGAAAACATAAACAATTCTCCTAATTACTGACGTTACCTTTTTTAGAACACTGAGAACAATGGAGTAGACAAAACCAATTCCTGCTACAGCCACCAGACACATGAGGAAGAGGTAGGCATCGCGATACAGCTTGAAGTCGGTGGGCTTGGGATAAAGGATGGAGCGCACCAACTGACCTTTGGCTGTGCTGAAACCTTAGAAAAGAAAAAACAAACAAATATGCTGCTTTTATAACAAAATAACCTGAACAAACAAAACAAAAAGGCTTGTAGGTAGAACATTTTGGAGGGGGGAGGAGGAGGTGTTTGTTTTTTCACAAAAACATGCTTGATCATCAACTAATGACTGCAGGAAAATTTCTCTCCTCTACTTAACAAAAATCTGAAGACTATGTCTGCAGAAACTGTTCCAACATATGTACAGACTGTCGAGAATCTGAATAATGTAGCTCATTAGTCAAGTTTTTTTTTTTTTCAAGGTAAAGGTATAAAATACATTATTTTTTAAAATACAGGATTTGTGGCTATTTTGTACATTTGAGAGCATCTCACATCACATTATACAAACAACTATATTCACCTGTGCGGACCACCACAGCCTTGACCAGTTCACCAGAGTAGAAGCGGGTCTGGATGACATTGGTGCCACAGAACAGTGTGTGTCTTTTATGGTCCTCTGTGTTGTAGACACTGTCAGTCTCCCTCGTCTCGTCTGGCAATGGGTTTGGGAGGTTGGTCTTTGTGACGGGAACGCTTTCACCTGGTAAAAAAAAAAGGAGATTTTTTTTAGAATCTTCCTCATTCACGTGAACTAAAAAGTCAACAAACTGTTATATAACTCTAACCCGTGAGCATGCTTTCGTTGACAATGCAGGTTCCACTGATTAAAACTGCATCACACGGCATGATGGTCCCATTGCTCGGGATCACCATCACATCACCAGGCACCAGATCAGTGGACAACACCTCCTCAGTATCTGCCAGGGGTTTGGGGGAGAGGGGAGGATCATATGATGTAAAGGCAAATGTGGAAACGCAAGATCAACACGACACAAAAAACATTAATATTAAAAAATAGGACAAACCATTGTTGGCTCGACACACAGACACACGGACAATACTGTGAGCTGCCACCATGTCATGAAGCATGACGTATTGCTGTGGAAAACAAAACAAAAAATTTATGATGATCATCAATTACATTTAATTTGTTATGGAAGACTTCTTATTCATTTTCAGCGACAGCTCTACGCCCTCACCTTTTTGACGGTGTACAGAGAGGTAGCTGTGGATATGACTGACATGAAAACAATGGCCGCAGCATAGTAATAATACTCATCAGCAGTCCACAGGATCACACTGAAGAGCTGGAAGATGTAAAAAGGGTTGAGGACCTGCAGAAAAAAAAATGTTAAGGCACAATTTAAAAGCAGAAGATGAGGTTTTTACTCTTTGACCAAAAGGGTGGAATGAAAATCATATTTTCATTCCAAGACAAACAAAGAAATGAGGAGCAGCAGAGAATATCAGCTGAGTCAGTGTCAGCACGTGCCGACACTCACTCAGCATCTATGCATCATCTGCGGCTGCCGTGTGTTTACGTAGTTATCTGTCATTATCTGAGCACCATCATCACTGCTGACCAAGTATCCTGACTGGTCCACATGTTTTGACTCACCAATCACAAGTGGCTTCCAATGGTTTTGTTCTGCTAGGGTACAGATAAATCTGCTTTATTCTCTTCCTTCTCATCAAGTCTTTTTGTGTTCTTAAAAGTCAAAGGACAATTTGACTGTTTTTTAGACATATGTTTTGTTTATATTTTTAATAATTAAAAAAGATTCTACAATCGTATTTTTAAAACTAATTTAGGGGTTGATCCTATGGCTAGACAACATAAACAAATTCGTGTTAAAAGGGATAGGTTTAATACCGCCTAAGAGTCTATCCCTTTTGTCCGCATGGGGGCAGTGTAACAAAAGCAGCAAGGTTCAGAATACTGCTCATCAGTTTATCTTTGTGGTGTTGACACATGGACATCTAAACTTTCTTGAATTAAGTGATGGCAAAAGTTGTTAAAGTGACATGAAAAAGATAATGACAGAGTAAGAGGAAAATTCAGTCAGTATCAGAAAGAAGCACGGATTGTCTGCACTAATCTGTCAATACTGTCACGTCTGGTGTCTGTGATGGATAGACAGATAGAAATTATTGATAAACTGCAGCCAAGAGTTTATTAAATTTGTTTTAAGATTTTCCATCCATAAGGGAACTTTGAAAATTGGTCCAATAGAGTCTTTAAAATTCATTAGGAAATCCAATTTTTTTTTTTTTTATACACAACATTTAACATTACCTCTTTGATAAGCAGCTTGAAAACAGAAGGCACTTTCACTGCAATTTCATTCATTCCGAAGAACAGTCTCCTGACAAGTGGTGAAAGAAAAAAAAAAACAAACATGTGTCACGTCTTTAAAATCAGAATCTTAACACATGCCTGACCCTAAAAACTGTAAAATAGTTATAGTTACACAATAATGCACAGAGGCAGTTAAGGGTAAAAGGACTGCAATGAATAAGGAAAGATCCATGAACTGTATAATTTTTTTAAAAATAGGACGTTCTTAGAACTGTCACATAGTCCACAGACTATGTGACAGTTCTCACTTTGTCAGAAACGTATGCATCAAAATCCAGCAAGATGAGGCAACACCTTGTAACAAGCAAAGGACCCAGAATTTAAATCAAATTTACTTCACAGCACAGAACACTGACTGATTTGTACCTATGGTTATGTACTATGTGTTGTCAGGTACCTGTACTCCTGCTGGTTCCTGGTAAGACCTGAGCTGTGCTCAGAGTGGAGGGTGGAGCAGCTGATCTGTAGCTCCTCCAGGCCGCTGAAGCAGGAGACAGTTACACAGAGCTGAGCAAACTCCAAACTATCAAAAGTTAAGCATAAAAAAGCACTTACCATAAATCTTTAAAGTTCTGTTTCTCTTCATCCCAATAATACTTTGTGCTGTGAAAGGTGAAATAACGAATCTGTGGGAAACAGACTATTATTAGACCTCTGTTCGATACATGCCTGCACTTTTTACATCAATGCCAAACCGTAAAGTCAGTATTTTGGTATTTTAGTAAAGCAGATTTGTCTGTAATTTAGACAAAGGCCAAACAGTTTTATCTAAACAAAGATCAGGATTTTTTATTATTCACTACATTTCAGGACAAATGCTTACTTGTACGGGCTGGTAGTCGGCAAATCTTTTGATGAGCTCCTGAGCGGGTCTGCCATCGGAGTGTTGTGTGGTGTGTCCATTGGCTACAGCAGGTGTGGCAGGGGAGGAGAAGGGGCAGGAAGGTGAAGAGGGGGTGCAGGGGGAGGTGGTCTGGGTCTCCAGGCTGTGGAAGGGATTGCTCCCTGGGGCTAACATCACTCGCACCCTGGCCAGGAACCAGCGCCGGAACTCATCCTTGTTAACCAGAAGAAGAAAACAAAAATCTTTAAACAGTACTAACAGAATATTTGAGGCTAGCTCTGATCAATTTAATTTTGAACGTACAGTCACAATGAACATGCTTGTTTGTTTGTTTGTTTGTTTTTTCCTCCTGTCTGCCTTTATCCCTGGGTTCATACTGGACGTCCTTCCCCACAAATCAAACTGTTAATATACTGCTACATGTTACCTACCGTAGACCGCAACAAAACCACTTCAGCATCTCTGGCTGTGGTACGGGTGCAGGTGGATTTGACGCACCACTCTGGCATCCAGTAGAGTAGCAGGAGGAGAAAGCCCCCCGTACACAGCACCCCGAGGCCCACCAGGACCAGACGCCAATGACATAAGCGGTAGCCCTGTAGCTCCTAAGAAAAGAAATAAATAAAAAGATGCTTCAAATTAAAAGGATGTAAAATAAAAATAAAAATTCCAAAAATGCTGCAAGAGGACTACAAATAAAAATCCCCTCACCATCTCCTCCTCTTCTCCCTTGTTAAGAACCTTGATGTCTTCCTTCTCCATGCTGCAGAATGGTTTGCCAAGTGCTCGTGTAAGCCACTTCAGTAGAGATAGAATGGGCAACATTTTAGTACAACAACAATTTTGGTGAAAAACTGTGAAAATACGAATATATCAAACACAAATTATTTGCATCAATTATATACTACTACTTATTTACTATTTAACTTTTATATACAATTTCAGTTCTAACCAAAAGAACTATGTAACTTTTGTGTCAATGTGAACTTCTGTGTAATATTAAAAAGAACGAACAATTTCTAACAAACTTGGTGCCTCCTAAAAAGACGTCCTTCACCAGGTGACACATTAATCTGAAACAACCTGTTTTCAGAGAGGAATGAAAAAACCTTCCCTTTGAAGTGTGTCCATGGATAATCTAAGCTTAGTTAAAACCTTTTTAGACTTCACTCCGGCAAGAACCAGAATGTCCCACCTCTGCACATGAATACTCTAAATGGAGAAGAGACGGACAGTTCAAGAGTGTAAATTGGGATTTATTCTCAGACTGTAGTACGTGTTCTGCACATGAATACTCTAAATGGAGAAGGGACGGACAGTTCAAGAGTGTAGTACCCTGTAGTGTCCCTTCATGTATTGCTAAAAATACGATGGGTGTAAAAAAATAAATAAATAAAATAAAATACATGGTATTCTAAAATAGCGTTCTTAAAATAATAAAAGAGGGCTAAGACCGTGTCTTCATGTTGTCAAAAAAAGCTGGTATATTTCAACATGGTCCACCACCCAATAAAAGACCGACTGCTCTCTCGACTGTGTCGCTCTCTCTCTCTCTCTCCTTCTCCCCCACATTGATCTTATCAGCAAGCAGAACATGCCTGTTTTTTTTTTTCTTTGGCATACACTGGAATATTTTGCTTAGGACCAAGCCCTTCCTAGTATTTTACAGGAGCAGCCAATGACCAACACAAGGCAGTGGGTGTAGTTTAAAAGGAATGTACCCTCACTTGTCTTTTTTGCAATGACTGGAAATGCCAAATCCAGGCCATTATGATCCTCCGTCACAAAAAAAAAATGCTATGAGTCTTAGGTGATAACGCTGATAAGCCCCCCCCCTCCCCGCTCACTTTGGTGATGGGTGAAATGCTGAGGTCACATTTCGTTGACAAGTGGTTTACCTTCTTTTTTTAAACTTTCAAATACATTTACTTTATTTTGATTTAACAGAGATAGAAGAACTAACTAGCCCTTGAAGTTAGTTTTGTAGGAAGAAGACTATAATAGACGCTGCTGAATTATCTTCAGTTACAGTTAAACAAAAATGATACATAGAAGGCCACAGTTGAAGTGCGAGTTGTCTCCTGTTGTAGCAAAGATGAATTGTGTACTTTTTATTTAAGTGCACATCTTACTGCCAACCACTATGGTGTACGGGGTGATAAATATGGTTCACTGTGGGAAGTCATGTTTAGGATAAACAAAACTGTTATGTGTTATTGAACTGCAGCCTTTCTGGTAGGAAACACTGGTAGCCTTTTATAAATACGACAAAGTTGCTACTTCCACTGCCCGCGGTGCTTGGTTCATTAACACAGAAATAGATAGAGGAATGTGCCTCATTCACTGGGGACTGTTAAATGGGGTTTAAGCTGAGCAGTAAATATCTCATAAATTGTGTTCAGATTCTGGTCAGATATACCAAGAGATTGCCTAAATATGACATCAATATTTTTCTTGTCACATATTTCAAATCTTTGCTTTGCTTTCCCGACGAAAAAACATCTATTATTTTGGGAGAGGCTGAGCAGAACCAGAAACAGGCAAAGTATATAAATATATAAGCGATAGACTCTCATTCTATATAGCATTTAGAAATACATTGCTGTATTTTAAACACTCCATAGAAAGCTGAGCCCTAAGAGTGATATGAGACGCACGTACTTTGATCACTGAAGTTGACATGAATGCAATAGAAAAGAATGTGAATGGTGTTGCCTATTTTTCATCCTTAGAGATAAAAAAAGGTCCTTCAAAATGTTTAATACTTAATACAATTTATGTCACCACATCAACAATCTCAGGAACTAAGTATTTTAATAAACATTAAAACAGAATTATACCATACCAGTTGAGGCAATAAATGAATATGTTTTGGTTTTTTTTTACCTTAAGAACCAGGGACACGATGCCCCAGGAGGTCCTCCACCCAGTAGTTATCAACACACTAACCTGGAACCCTAGGGAAACAAACACCAGTTTAAAAAAAATAAAAAATAAAAATTTGCCAAAAGCCATTTTATAACTTTATCTCAGCACAAATCTAAAAAAAAAAATCTGCACATTTCCACTGCTTGATTAGACCTTTCTTGTTATAGTACAGTCTTACACATAAAGGCCGTGCTGAGGTTTAAGCCCCCACCACGTGCCCTGGATTACAGTAACATAGCTTTACAGTTGAGTGGAAAAGTGCGGGACAGGCATTAAAAAATGAAATAAAATATATATAAATTACAAATCATGATCTCTCTTTTCCTTAAAACACCTTACATATCAAGTTTCACAATACTTCCACAGAAAGCATATGCATTAGATCACTCTGATCTGAAAATCGAATGTGAAATTTAACAGTTGTTTGCCTTTTTAATAAAAGGTACTTTCCATTCTACTAAAGTACTACTCCTTTAACTTATGTACTCTAATTTTAGATAAACATAACACCTATTTATCTTTCACACAGCTCTTGCAAATCCACACCAAACGGCAATGAGGTGAGTAGTGGTCTTTCATCATGTCATGATATTTCTCATTTGTATAAACACCGGAAAGCCTTTTATTACATACTGTTTTTAAGATCAACTGGTGCCAAAAGGCCAAATGAACACTAGCATCTTGTTTCTTGAAGCAAAGTGCTTGTAAATCTCCAAAAATAAATGTCCTGGTTTACTAATGTGGTATAAAATGGGCAGGTTAATTTGGTTGCATCACATAATTGTTCCTGAAGGTGATTAAGTATTGTGAAATAGTTTCATCTAACCAGACTTAATTGAATCCTATTTAATAATTTAATTACTTAAAATCATATGACACAACATAAGAGTCAGTGGACGCAACTGCAAGTGAAAGTATAATCCTGAAGGTTGCAGCTAACAATTGCCTCACTTTTACATTCCTTCCTTCAAACTCGGCAGGAACGTATCGATTCTAGGCCCATTAGTCCACTGAACTGGGAGTATCTCTTCCCTCTGCAGTCATAAGCCAGTTTTTGTTGAATTGACAAATTAAAGACATGAGCTGGCAGCGTGACCGCGATGTTGTCGATTCACAGCCAGGTCACTATGATGCATCACAGTTCAGCCAAATCCAGGCTGTGACTCTCATGTGTAAAGTGATTGAATGATGTGAGGATTAACAGGAAAATGGATCCGCAGAGAAATTGGGTTCACTTTATTGCTACAAATCACAAACAACTCTGTGGTGTAAATGTCATTGTTTAATTTATAAAATCAATGACAAAGTGGCAAAACAAATCCCATTGTGAATAGTTAGATTTTGGGAGAATCAAGTAGTACAAATCATGTGTAAATTAAAATTTGTCTAAATTAGCTGATGCCAACATTTGACAGATTAAAGCACTGGTGTTTTTTTGCCTTCTGACATAGCCTTATTACACAAAACCACATTAATGTGTTAATAAATATTTGTGTGTTTAAAATCTCTCGTGCCTGTACCTATACCTCTCAAGTGTTCCCTTTTACAGTAACACAGAGCTGCTGTAGTCACTCATCCTGGACATGAAATCATTGACAAGAAGGCACAGAACCTGACTAAAGTAGTTAACTATAAGCCACAATATTCATATACCGTCTCTATTATAATATCGTTTTAATATTATACCGTCTCTATTATAATATCGTTTTATTTTATCGCGGTACGGACCCTCTTTGTGAACGCTGATAGTTTAAAGTGAGTGACTATAAGCCTCAAACAGGTCACAGCTTGATCATGAAGACATTTCAGCTAGCAGGCTAACGTTAGCCAAGCTTTATTGTTAGCTGTTAGCTTCACAATAACGTCAATATGTTTACCAAAGCACTTTATGTCGCGCGTTTAATCGAGGTTTAATTCGCGGTCTTGTGTCTTTTACGTATTTCCATGGCTCGCGCCTCAGTCACGCCGGAGTCATCGTCCACACGCCTTCATTCACAAGCTTACACACCATTACCATATTAGCCCTGCTTGGTAGCGACTAAACACATGGGTAATCATGACAGAAACAACGGCGGAGCACGACATTTACACTCACCCAGAACCACCTGGTCACTCTGAAGATCACCTTCGAGTCATGGTTAGCTGGTGGTGTCTGTTATCTGTCGGAAAACGTCGTGGAAGATGAGAACCGGCGAGGTTTAGAAGGGAAAAACGTCTTCGCAGACACAGCAAAACTGGCCACAACTAGACGTTGACAGCTCGGTGGCAGAGGCAGACTGAGCAGCGACAGCCGTAGCAGCAGCGGTAGTGGTTGGCCTCAACTGACTGACTGACTGACTGACGGCCGGAAGTGAAATCACGAGAGTCAGTCTGCCGCCCTTCAATTATCACGGAGCTCAAGTCATAATTTGACATAATAGTTCTATCTAACTGGATCCTCTTCACACTTTTCAGTTTATTGTTGGTCAAGATCTCGGCAAAAACAACGCAAAAACCATTGAGTAAAACAGTTACACTTTCTGTTTCAATTGTTTCTTATACATATATTGACAAAACCTCACTGTTATTTTTAACATTTATTTAAAAAGAAAAAAGATTACTTTCACCTACTACAATGCTTCTCTACTTTTTCTGCAGCGCCCCCTTTTTGTAGGTAGGACTATTGTCGGTTCCCACGACGTGATCCATTCACTTTCAGTTTTATTATTATTCCTAATGAACAAAGTGATTAAAATACATGTTAATTTGCCCCACTGCTCCCTCTCACTCCACACCTCACTTTAGGACCCAGATTTTTTTAATCTATTTTTAATGTGACTACATTATTTTACAAACTTGAGTTTTGACACTAGAAAAAAACTCATGTTATTGTTTCCTATTGTCTCTATATTCCAACCCAGCGTTGCTAATTGATTAGGATGAATAAATAAATTCCCCTTTTATGAGTACAATAAAAGTGTTCTGTCAATTCACCTATATCTTGTCTTTTAAAATAGGTCATGGATATGATTTATGACATTTTTCATAATATTTAGTTGTTGTTTAGCACTTAAATCAGGTTATTCCGTTTGGGGTTTTTTTTGTTTCTTAAAAAAAACCTTGTTTAGCACTTAAATCAGGTTATTCCATTTGGGGTTTTTGGTTTCTTAAAAAAAACTCAAATCTTAATATAAAGTATTATATTATACTAAGATGTTAGGGGGAAAGTACATAACAAAATTGTACTTTGGTAATGTCTATTGAAAAATGCTGAGCTAACCCAGCGTCATGTCTGGGCCTCATCGCTGTCCCTTCTGAGACTGGCGAAAAGAAAACAAGCGCTGTGACTTGCGTAAAAGATGGAATTTTGTTTGCAGAAGTGATTAGGGACAAGGATTAACACATTTGAAGCAGCAATGGGCAACAGACCTTTCTGTTTATGTTGGCCTTAAGTTAGTGATCACTCTGGCTCAGAGGACAGAGGAGACAAAGAACGAAAGAGTCGAGTAAATTTTGTTCGCCTCGCAAACATTTCCAGGGTTGTGAAGAGAGAAAAGAGAAAAAAAAATAACCTAAACAACTCTTCTCAAATAAAGAGCTTTACAATTAGAAAACGTTTCCGGTACAAATGATAGAAATTCACTCAACACAACATTGCAAAATATTTTAACTGCTGGAATATCTGACTTATAATGCAAAATATTTCAACTGCTGGAATATCGGTGGTTGATCGTTCGTGACACTCGTTTGGTTGGTTCCCAGCCATTTGTCAGAAGTATTTGTCACTTAAGGAAATGTAACAGGGAGGAGTAAAATATAGTTCATAACTTTAATCTGTGTATTGTTTAATTATCAGGCCGTAGGAAGTCTCTCTAGTCCAAAAGCCTTGTTATTTGCTCCAGCGTCATCCTGTGAAGTCCCAGAGCAGTTACACGGACAGAGGTCATGCAGGTGATTGAGAGGACGGATGAGATCTGGTCGGCTGGTCTGGTGCTTATCTTCAGTGTCGGCCCTTTTCCCAGTCCAGCCCTGATAAAGTAGCTTGACTACAAAAATACAGGATACACCCCAGTGACCTTGGAGGACCACAGGAGACCAATATTTATTATTAAGGGTCTTCTCCGCGATATATTATTGTGAAGGTTTTCAAATGTGAAAGTGCAAAGATATATTAGCTCTTCTTTCAAAAAGTTGAAATATTTAAAAATTGCAAAACAAATAACAGTAACTTGGTGATTTACATGAACCTTTACTTACAGGGAAAAGGACAGAGGCTGATTTCACCCAAAATTGATTCAAACATGTTTAAATCAACTATAAAAACAGACAAATTAAAGGTTAATCTTTTCAGATTTTATTGCCTTTTACATTAGTGACCAATACGTGTTTCTGGTACTTTTCATACAGGCACATGTGTCACATGTCTCCAGGATTAGACGCTGCCTGATGTGGAACAAATTCCCCCCGTGTTGTTGTGCTTAGTTCTCTCCATTTACCGTTGGCTTCTTCGAAATCCCACTAGAAAAAAAAAACACTTGAAATCAACTTAACTTTAAAGTCATTCTACCCATTTATCCTCATACACTTAACCATTTCTTACGTAGTTTATCCTTATCTTTGTGTTACAGTATGTTTGTTGTAACAGACACACTCAGATTCCTTCTTTGTGCTGATGAAGTTCTCTCCGCACCAGTGTTCCTGCTGTACCTGAACCACAATGTCCTTTACATTAACGTAGCAACTAATCCAGTCCTCATTGCATTTGAAATGTTTAGCAGCGATCACACAGTTAAATTCCAGGCCTGGAGCCATTATACAACAGAGTATAAACATTTCCTAAAATAGCAGAGTGTACTGCGGCACTGCCGTCGCACAGACAAGGCAACACATTTCACTACTTCCTAGGCAGCGAGGGCCAACCCAGTCTTGCTCTGTAATCAGAGGTCCTTTGCTGTAGAACAATTGGGCCATAAGGCAATCTGAAACAATTCTTCCACTCATTGTAACCATCTGTCACCCCAATGCCCCCCATCCCACATCTTACCACAGCAGAAAAAAATAAAAAAAGCAGAAAGTAATTAAAGCTGTTCAGTAACTTCTTTGTTTGGCATCTTCGTAATAAAAAGTAATAATTGAGGAATTTTGAAAAAAATTCACTTTTACTTCATGTTGTTGAATAATGAAACAAGTCTAAGAGTTTCCAGGAAGGGTGTGATCTACGGCTGTTTTCATTGTTATGATGTTGTTATGTTTCAGTTCTGATGAGAGTAGTTTACTTGTTTTGTTGGTGTTAAAGTTAATGACCGGGACAAAAAGGCAGAAAGTGTGGTATATTTGGTTTTATATAAATTGAATAAAGGACAATAAACTGGTATCAGGATTAGACAGCTCTGGTTAAGCCTTGGCTCTGATGACAAAGTCAGGTCAATATGTGGCTCTAAGTTTCAATCAAGTTTACTGAATCTGAATCTTCTTTTCTTGTCCTTTGTTTTACAGTGCCGTTCCATGTTAGCAAAGTCTTATGAAGAACAAGTTTACATATGTATTTTTACAGTGAGAAGTTTATATTAATTCACCCTGAAGGCTAACATTCCTCACTGTAAATCCTCACATTACTGGCTGCTCTGCAGGTACTGAAAGTTCACTCATTTCCCAGACCTACAGGCTTTGCGCAGGGCATTCACAACCTCTGCTTTTTCCTGTTGGCTCAACAACACAGAACTCTGTTTGTTCGTGCTCACACCATTTTCTTTTGTTTCATGGTAAACGACACCCTCCTTTGCTGGATTTTTTTTTTTTTTGGTACAGCAGAAAGTTTTTCAGGCTGCGAGTGTTGGGGCCTAAGAAGGAAAAATGCTGTTATTGTACTCCTCTGCAGAGCTCCCATTGTCACAGAAGAGGAAAAAAAGAAAGCATGGGAGTCGTTAATCTCTGGCCATGTTTGACCAAGAAGCCAATATTTAACTTCTGCTTCAACCATCGGCACAAAGAAAGTTAAAATGTAATCAATGCTGCTCACAAACAGCATCTCTCTCTGTTTTAAACACTCTTACATAAAAAAACAGTGTCTTTAAGTGACAACCTACACCATAAGCTCCAAACACGAGAAATAACTGTGCTGCAAATAAGAATGGCATAAAACTGGATTCAATATCTGTCTCTCTACAAACTGGGGCAAAGACAAACACCAGCTGGGGAAATATATATTCAAATATTATATAGACTATTTATCCAAAAGGCCAAAAACATATACTGTTACTTTGTTTGATTTGTAATAAAATAATAGCACGTATAAGTGTTGACAATATCGCTACGGTTTTCAATATTGGCCGCAGACATGATGAGTTCAGCTTCTCAAGCTAGGCTTCAACCTGCTGAGTAATAGCATGTATAAGTGTTGACAATATCACTACGGTTTTCGATATTGGCCGCAGACATGATGAGCCTTACATACACCTAGTGGTATAAAATGAGAACTACTAAAACGCACTTCATAGCAGTGTCTGAAAAATGTGTGTCATCGATCCAGATCGTGTAATAGAAGCGCCATGAAATTCGACGATCATATACAACAACATTTTAGATTATATTACTTGGAAAATAAATATCGTTGTATTCTTCTAGTTTAAAAACAAACAGTTGTACATGATCAGTATGTCCCACCTCTAGATCTGTACTGACTGAGGAAGAGTCGCTGGAGAGATCTGAATAGTAGGAGTTGTTAACTGTCATCACTGATGTTGTCCCATCACGGGGCTTGTCCTCCGCCTCCTCCTGGGACAAGGACACCTCGTGTAGACAGCATACCTATGAATAACACCAGTTTTTCTCCGTTATTTAAATACTGCCAAAATCACACTCAAATAAAGATCATATAGAAACATTTCAACAAAAACAAGAGCAAAGTCAAATCCTTTCCTTACAGGGTGTAGAGTGACGTCTATGTATTGGCCCATTTCAGTCATTTTAGCCAACTTTTTTTCCTATGCAGAACCAAAAAAAAAAAAAGTTAACATAGTGCTTGTTAAAACAGGAGATCAAAAATAATAAAGACGTGCCTTTGTTTCAGCTCTAGACTTTCCTTTTCCTTTCGTGATGTTCATGAAATAATTATCCACGGCAGGAACGTCACAGCTGCCTAAAAGTCTCCGTGTGTCCGAGGAAAATCTCACAGGTTCCTGCCTGGTTTCTCTCCTGCAGAAGTGGAAGACTACAATCTGATGGGTTTTTGGATAAAAAGTCAACGTGTCATTCCAGAGTGAAACCTGAAGCTACGAATGTGAAGCAATCTATTGTATGTTCCTTGGTGGTAAATGGAGAATTTCTTTTTAGATTTTTTCCAAAGCCGTTTCAAAATAAGAGGACCAGGAAAAGGATACAAGAACATCCAGGATGCTAGAACATATTGCCGACAACAGCCATGGCATGACTCTCAGAAGAAATCCACTCTGTGGAGTGTCATAGAGGAGGATTGCAGCAGAATAGAGGGAACCAGCCAGTGAGCAAAGCAGCCTGGAGATGCAGTCGGCCTTGGTCAACTTCTCCCCCTGAAACGTGGTCAATAAATACGATAACTACTGCTACGACAAGGATTGAACAAAAATGGACTAAAACACAGATTTCTGAATTGTTACTTCAGTTCTGCAGAGGGCAGGGAACCTGGCGGTGCAGACGATGACAAACGAGATCAGGCCAAGAACGTAACCCAGCACTTCAGTTTGGTCCTAGGAATGTGAGATAATAAAGTAATGTTAGAATACTGTATGGAATAAAACCAACAACTAGGAGAGTAGAGTGTCTTATTTGACTAAAGTGAGAATAAAACACCTTCATATTTTATCCTTTTATTTGTCATTTATTATAATACTGACTTCGACAACAGTTTCATCACAGTGTTCGTGCGTTCTTACTTGTAGAGCAGCATAGAGCAGTCGCCGTCCACTGTGAAGGGTGTCTGATGGTTTGACCAAAGATTTCAAAAACCCACCTGCGACCACCATCAGTACACACACTGCAAGGAGGTGCTGTCTCCTGCGCCTCCTCATCATTCTCACCCTCAGTGCTGTCGTAGAACAGAAGCAGACGAGGAGACGCACGAGACAGTGAGGGATTATTATTCATTCACTATCAGCACAGCTGTGTGCATTTGTTTGCCTATCTGTACGAGTTCCCTGATAAACCAACTGACTTTGACAACAGTCCTGGGAGCTGTGATGTATAATATATTTTTTAATTTAATATTTAATATTATAATATATATAGTAAGGTTTAATAGAAAATAAGATATTAAAATATTAAATTATACATATATACATATATACATATACACATATCCATATACATATACATACATATATACACATATATATAGTGAGGTTTAATAGAAAATAAAATCAACAAAGCTCTTAACTTACTTTTCTTTGAGTTCCGGCAAACTGAAAAGTAGCAGGACAAGACATTGACAGCATCCAAAACACCCGCAATAACGCCCATCAAAACCTACAGGGGGCGCAAAATAAATATTACAAAAATGTAATACCTGGAACAGTTAAACGTGCACAGTGCAAATGGAAAGTAAAGAGAGTTAACCTTACTTGCATATAAAGTTGTTTCGACAAAATGGCACCAACGGTGCTGCACAGGTCACCGAGGAAGCAGTAGGAGAACACGCAGCTTTCTCCTGGAGTTCCTCCACTCCGGCATCTCCACTGCATTAGGCTTAAAGAACGCAAAAATGCATCGAGGAGTTAGGTTTACAGAAAAGGATCAAACTCGGATGCTGCAGTTAAAAAAACAACAACAACTTCTTACACTAAACATGACAGCAGAAGAGCGGCCACCGATGAGAGGCACAGACCGAGGAGGACGCAGCGTTTGTCTGCATCAGAGGAGAAACAGGTGTTGAACGAATCCACACAGTCAGTAAATGTGCGAGAGAAGAAAGAGACAAAGGACGAAAGTCCGGGATGGTCGTCAGCTCTCTGTGTAAGTTCCTCCATGTGTATCAAAGAAAAAGCTCACATCGCGATGTACTTTAATGAATAATCGTTATCGCATCGACTGAACAGGTGACTGGAATCAAACGCAAGAGAGTCGACCACCTTAAAGGGAGGAGCTACCGAGACACAACTCTCCCCACGTGGAGAATTGTCTTCTTATAGTCGGTCATGAATTCACTTTCTACGTCGTAATGCTTTTCATGAGTCACAGGAGTCGTAAGGCGAGGACGGCTCCATCCTTGGTGTCGACCCCACTAAGACACACAGCTGTGGTGCAGTGTTTTACATTGTTATGTTCGCTTAATCTTTGTTTTGATAGATTAAAAATAAATAACTTAAAAAGGTTGTTGCATTGGCCGGGAATCGACCCCGGGCCTCCCGCGTGGCAGGCGCGAATTCTACCACTGAACCACCAATGCTTGATAGTAATTTTTCCACCAACCATTTGTTGTTGATTTAATGTTTGTCTTTGTTTTGATAGATTAAAAATAAATACCTTAAAAAGGTTGTTGCTTGGGCCGGGAATCGAACCAGGGCCTACCGCGGGGCAGGAGTGAAGTCTACCACTGAACCACCAATGCTTGATAGTAATTTTTCCACCAACCATTCGTTGTTGATTTAATGTTTGTCTTTGTTTTGATAGATTAAATAAACAAATAAACAAAAAGTAACTTTGCATTGGCCGGGAATCGAACCCGGGCCTCCCGCGTGGCAGGCGAGAATTCTACCACTGAACCACCAATGCTTGATAGTTGGTGTTCCACCAACCATTCGTTGTTGATTTAATGTTTGTCTTTGTTTTGATAGATTTAATAAACAAAAAGTAACTATGCATTGGCCGGGAATCGAACCCGGGCCTCCCGCGTGGCAGGCGAGAATTCTACCACTGAACCACCAATGCTTGATAGTTGGTGTTCCACCAACCATTCGTTGTTGATTTAATGTTTGTCTTTGTTTTGATAGATTAAATAAACAAATAAACAAAAAGTAACTTTGCATTGGCCGGGAATCGAACCCGGGCCTCCCGCGTGGCAGGCGAGAATTCTACCACTGAACCACCAATGCTTGATAGTTGGTGTTCCACCAACCATTCGTTGTTGATTTAATGTTTGTCTTTGTTTTGATAGATTTAATAAACAAAAAGTAACTATGCATTGGCCGGGAATCGAACCCGGGCCTCCCGCGTGGCAGGCGAGAATTCTACCACTGAACCACCAATGCTTGATGAACTGTCTTCTAACAAGCATCAGGTCGTTGGAAGCATATTTAAAAAAACAGAAAAGGAAAATCACTAACGCTTGTTGATCAACCTTCAAATAAGCATTAGTTGTTGGTTTTAAACCTAAAAAAATAAATAAAAAAGAATGTTGCATTGGCCGGGAATCGAACCCGGGCCTCCCGCGTGGCAGGCGAGAATTCTACCACTGAACCACCAATGCTTGTTGCCGAGTCTTCCGTCACATGGTATTGGATCTTGCATTTTTACTATTAACGATGAACTTCACTGTTTTTCTTCTCAGTTTTGGTTGCCTTGAACCCTTAACTATAATATGTGAAAAGGTAATGGTCTTAACATTAGAGTTTCGATTACGAATAATAATAATAATTTCTTATTAAACATTTATATTCATATATAACGCATCTACTACACACGTAAATAGTCGTTAAATTTAGCTCATTTAAACGTGCGTCAATAACACCTTGTTAGATAACCACTCTATTTCAAATATTTAATCAAACTTACGTTTGATAGGCTTTGGTTCCCTCGTGTGGCCAGGCCCGGTACTGCAGCCATCTTTGTTCACGTGTCATACAAAACCCAGCACTCAGAACTGAGAATTCCTTTTCATGTTTCTGGCCTAGATTTATCCACAGTAGATTTCACCAACTGTCACGTTGTACTAATTACTTTTGTACAACAAATCAAGTTAATGTCTGCTCTGGATGGTCTAACTAATAACATATTTTTATTATTTTATGTTAACGTGATAATCAGGATATATTTTAATGCATCACGCGCTTCAATATTCAGGGTTACAAGACGCACAGCGTGAGACAAAACCAATCAGTTTTACACTCTGATAGATTAGAATCCCAGCTTGATAACGACAACGATGATTCTGATTTTTTTATACAGTTTGATCATTATTACAGCATTTATTGATCCAGTCGTCTGAGTGAAAACCAATTTGCAACAACCGTTTGTTGAAGAAAGTTCATTTTTGGTCGTTAAAGAGCAGGATATCTGCTTAGATTTTGCAGTAAAAACAAAAGAGACCATTTGCAGTATTCTGACTAGTACAATATAAATACAAGTAAAATGTAATGGTATGTTTTTTAATTTACCAGAACCTGATGAATGTTTTGATCCGGGGTTATCTCTGAGGGTCCATTTTATTTTAAACGCGCCTCAGGCGAGCACACACGCCTACACAATCAAGGCGTCAACCAAATATTTTTTAATTAGCAGCAGCCTCCCTTCGACTGTATTAGGGGGCTGGTGTTAGCAGCCTGCAGAACTGAGCTAGATGTATTATTGCTTGGAACTCTTTGAAATGTCAATAGCAATTTTGGTTTTTGTAACAAGTGAAAACATAACAACTATAATCTCTTTCCTCAGAGAATCTGGATATATGGGTTTTGTGACAAATTTATAAGAGCAGATTTGGAAACAGACCAGCAGAGTGGCGCAGCGGAAGCGTGCTGGGCCCATAACCCAGAGGTCGATGGATCGAAACCATCCTCTGCTAACTTTAATGTTGCAACAGAATACTGTTGTCACAGTTTAGATAAATGATGTTCAAGTTATTATTACATCAGTCACAAATGGCCCACCCCAATCTTTGACAGACAGAACTGGATTCACTGATTGACCACATTCTCGTTCCTAATTGTGTAAGATAAGACAGAACTGGATTCACTGATTGACCATATTCTCGTTCCTAATTGTGTAAGTTTTGTCTGTTTATTGTGTTTATTTCATTGGTTGAAATAAATAAGAACCAGCTATAAATGCTGCGATACTTTCACGAATGATCTTTTAATTCTGTTTCTTGGGTGAAATTTCATTTTATGGGTCACTCGAATTGATTGCAAATATTTCTCATATTAAGTATAAAGCCCCTCGTCGAGAGAGTGGATAGCCGGCGGACTAAACTAGCACAAAAGACGCACCTGTTATCATCCCTCTTGATTTCAGATTTAGCGAGCTGCTGGCAGTCACTCCTTTTACTCAATGACAAGCAGATGGGCTGGCAACGCACTCCTCAGTGTCGTTCCCATGATGCCAAAACTGATCTGCTTTTTACTCTGCAATATTGAAATTCACTCTTTTTTTCCCCCCTTGTGCCAATAGTGATTTGCAGTCATTAAGAGGAGAATAGAGCACGGCGTAATGAAGTTAGTTCTCTCTTTAATAAGCAGCCGTGGGCAAACCTGAGCTCTCGGTGCTTTCATCTGCGGCACGCTAATAGAGACATAACTTTCGAGGTGTCAGGGTTTAATGCAAAATACTTGTCTAATTTCCAATCATCAAAGTCATAAAATGTCCCTTTAGTAGATAGTCTCTCATTAAAGAGAGGTAGTGGTTGGTGAAGTGCACCCACCACTCAGGTAAGTCATTTCAGCCTCTTTGCTGTCACATATACAGTACAACGCAGTTCTTA